GGGTGGCAGGTGGTGATAATTCAGAATAATCTTCAATCTTACTGAGTTAGGTTTGTTATTTATTTACCCAGCTCTATGTATGAGTGTAGTGAGGCTGGAACAAGAGAAGACATTTGAAAATCTCTCTTCTGTCTTACATCCTAGCTATTAGCATCAGTTTCCCTGACCTGGAAGGCATAAGAAGAGAAGTACGAATTTGTCATTAACGAGTTTATTTTAAAGAAAGTTAACAAATGATGAGTTTATTTTTAAGAAAGTTAACAAATGATGGTTTAAGAAGAACAAGAAATAACTAACTTTTGACTTTAAACAAGAAGATAAAGGAAAATGGCAAAATATTTCCTAACTATACAAGAATTTGAAATTAAAACTTCATGAAGTCACTAACAAAATAGCAGTAAGGAATGAAGTATATTTTATAACAGAATAGAACTATATGTGGCTGGTGACTGTAATGGATTACAGTCCAGAGGGGACAGATTGAGAGAATCATGGTTGCAGGCCAGCGTATGCAAAAAGTTAGTATGACTTCATCTTAACAATTAAGCTGGATATAGTGGAATATATCTATTTCCAAGCAGGTGGTAGACACAGGGAGATGGATTATGGTTCAAGGATAGCCTGAGCCAAAAGCCTGAGATGCTGCCAGAAAAATAACTAAGGCAAAAAACATGCTGGCAGTGTGGCTTAAGTGTTAAGAGTCCAAAGTTCTGAATATAAACTCCAGAGTCACTAAAACAACACACAGAACATTTACAAAACAAAACATGGGAATCATTAGATCAGTTTAACAAAGATCAAATAATTTCATTGTTTTTAATGTCATTGGAGAGAGAAACAAGTTTGAGCAAATATATCATAATAAAAAGTAGTAGCTTTCTTAGGTATAATTAATAAATATATCCAGATATATGCAGGGTCATATACACAAACATATGATGAACATGAACATATTATGGTGTTTGTAGGGGAGAATTCGAGTGATGCAACTCCTTTGAACAACTGCTATATTGTCTAACAAAATAAATACTAGGGCTGGGCATCAGTGGATCACATCTGTAACCCTAGGTACTCAGATGGCTAGGTTTTGACAATCATGGTCCAAAGCTGGCCTGGGAAGGAAAGTCTGTGAGACTCTTATCTCCAATTAACCACCAAAATGCTGGAAGTGGAGTTGCCCAAGTGGTAGAGCATTAATTTTGAATGTAAATGCTCAGGGACAGTGTCTAGACCCAGGGGTCAAGTCCCAGGACTGACACCAATAAATAGCATGCATGCATATATACATACATACATACATACAAGGAAGCTGGTACTTGAGGTGGGGGGGTCAAGGGAAGGGGTAGACAAATGAAGAAAGAAGAGGGTTGTAAAGAATACAGTAACAATATCCAATGCATAGCCTATGAAACTAGGAAAATTGAAGAGTTGCTAGAGTTGAGAGGTTTACATAGGAAAGAGTAATGAAAGGGGAGATCTAGATCTCCCCTCACATATTGGAGTGTAACCTCCTTTCACAGTGACTTAAAAATAATAAGAATATATTTTTAAAAGTAAGTTCGTTGCTTTTCTTTAATTTCTTGCCTTTCTTCCATGCTGATTTTCTTGCCCCTTTCTTTTGTTGTACAGAAGCATTAGAGGAGGGCAATCAAAAAGTTGTGGCCAACTAATAAAAGAAAAGTAAAAATAGTTAATGGACTTGAGGCACATTTGCACTGGTGACTTAGGCCATGTAGCTGAGGGAATGTAACTCTGGAGGGCACTTTGGCCATTCTTTGCACATTTCATTCCAAAGGAGCACTACCTCCCACGGTCTTTCCTGCAGCACCTTCAGCCTGGCCTGCCTTGTATGATCTCACTCTACTTCTTACCAGGTGGACAGCAAACAAAAAGCAACTTATGGGCTTTTCCTTTTGCAGTCCAAACAATGAAAACAAAAATCTAGGCTTTATTTGGCACATTAACACATACTTGTGGACATCCTAAGTGCCCTGTGGAGAGCTATTACAAAAGAACAAAGGAAGAAAGCTGGTATTCTTTCAGTAGTACCAGAATTCTTAAGACTGTACTGAATTTGTAATTAATTCAAAAGGAGATCTTTCATGAAGAAACTCATGCATCATATTACCGTAGATTAAATATCATTTCTTTCTTTGTTTGCTTCTTATTTTTTTTGGTCGGTCGTGGGGCTTGAATTCTGGGCTTGGGCACTGTAACTCATCTCTTCAACTCAAGGCTAGTCCTGTACCACTTGAGCCACTGTGCCACTTCCAGTTTTCTAATGGTTTATTGGAGTTAAGAGTCTTGCGGACTTTATTGCCCCAGCTGGCTTTGAACCTCAATCTTCAGATCTCAGCCTCCTGAGTAGCTAGGATTACAGGCTTGAGCCACCAGCGCCCAGCTGCTTGTTTGTTTTGATACTGATATTTGCACTTAGAATCTTGGCCTTCCTATGCAGGATCTAATTTTTGATCCATACTTTCAGTCCACTTGAATATCTTAGTTTTCTCCCAGTAAGACTAATTTGAACTTTCATGACTAAGAATTTTCATGTTCCTAAATGTATGTAAACTATATGTACTGTAACTCTATTGATGGTAGATGCTTAAGAAACATCACCATAGCAATAGATTCCAAGAGATACATGCAATTCCTAGGTGCTATCAACAGATGGCAGCATTTACACAATAATGTATAGCTTCCAGTTGAATAATAGTAATAGCTGAATAAATGTAATTTCTCAAAAAGATTACTAAAAAATTAGCCCATGTATTTTACTTAATTTATACTATTTTTGTAATCTAAGGTGATATTATCTAGTGTTTCATTTTTTTGCTTTTTGCTTGTTAGGAAAAAACTTCAAGGAAAATATTCTTTTCCCCAAAAAACTCATTCCAACTTCATTTTGATTCAGAGTTGCATGAAGAGAAAGGTAGACCCACTATCCCAAGTGGGTCACGTTAGTGTCCTCTGGTTGTCAGAGGCTGCAGTCTGGTGGCTCATGTCTGTAATTCTAGCTACTTGGGAGGCTGAAAGCTGAAGTTCACAGTTGAAAGCCAGCCTGGGCAGGAAAAGTTCTTGAGATTCTTGTCTCCAATAAGCTGCCCCACCCCCTACTCCCAACCCAGAAGTAGAACTTTGGCCTAAGTACTTGAGTGCTAGCCTTTAGCAAGTAAAATTTAGGGACATCACCTAGACCCTAAATTCAAGCCCAGGACCCAGGCAAAAACAAACAAATACCTAAAATAAAACAAAAGCACAGATACTTGGCGGGATTTATCCTTGGATCAAGAAAATGTGGTATAGATACACAATGGAATTCTATGTCTCCATCAGAAAGAATGGCATTGCCCCATTTGTTAGGAAATGGAAAGACTTGGAACAAATTATAGTAAGTGAAGTAAGCCAGGCCCAAAGAAACATAGGTCCCATGGTTTCCCTTATTTGCAATAACTACTATATGTCTGAGTCAAGCAGAAAAGGTCAGAAAAGTTGATGTTAGGGGAATGAACCCCAAGATAAGTATTCAAATATATTTTTGTTTTTCTTCCTTTCATGCAATTGTTTCTAACATATTTATAAAATGATTTCTTTGTTGCTTTGCATGTCCCTCCCCCACGTCATAACCCATGCTTTCACTGTATTTGGTGTTGGTATAATTCGTGGAGGAGAAGGGGAAAAACAAATCGTTTAAATAGGGATACAGGTGGACCCATTGCAACAATGAGATGTACTTTATATCGAAAAACGAACTTTACAACTTTGGTGGGGTGGGGGGAAGATCTGGTGGGGGGAAGGGGGGAGTATGGGAAGGGATGGGAAGGGGAAACAAAGAGGAGGCAACAATGCTTGATAAGAAATGTACTCCTTATCTTGCCCACGTAGTTGTAACTCTCTGTATGGTATTCTCACAATAAAAAAAAAAAAAGGTTCCAGCACAACTGTTTATCACAGCATTATTTACCATAGCTAAGATATGGAACCAACCCAGATTCCTCTCAGTAGATGAATGGATCAAGAAAGTGTGATATATATATATATATATATATATATATATATATATATATATATATGATGGAATTCTATTCCTCCATCAGAAAGAATGACACTGCCCCATTTGTTAGGAACAGAAAGACTTGGAAAAAATTATATTAAGTGAAGTAAACCAGGCTCAAAGAAACATAGGTCCCATGGTTTCTCAATAAATAATATATGCATAGGACAAGCAGAAAAGCTCAAAAGCTATGCACATATGACCATATAAGATGGATCTAAATGAAAGGAACCCCCCAAGATAGGGACACAAGAGGTTTTATCTTTGTTGCTGTTGCTATATATATATATATATAAAATGTACTATGTGATTTTTTGTTTGTTTGTTTCTTGTGTGTGTTCTTCCCCATGGTATAACCCCTGTTTTCACTGTATTTGATTCTGGTGCCCTGCATCTTGTATATACATTTTTCTAGTTTGGGGAGGGGAAGGGAAATAATAAAATAATGAAATAAGGATACAGGCTGGCCCATTGTAACAATGAGATGTACAAGACACTATGTTGAAAACAAACCTTACAACTTCAAGGTGGGGGGGAGTTTGGGAGATGGGGAGGGAAGGGAGGGTAGGGGAAAACCAAAGGAGGAGGTAGCAACGCTCAATAGGAAATGTCCTCATTACCTTACTCATGTAACTGCAACCCCTCTATAGTATCTTTACAATTATATATATATATATATATATATATATATATATATATATATATATATATATATATATAAATGGTTTCCTAATGACACTTTCTGTTTTTCACTCAAAGGTAGCTTCGCATTAGCCCACAAATGCCCATAGCTGCTTCTGTCAATATTTTTGGTCTGTAGATTATGTACTTTATGAGGTTAAACATAGCAACACAAATATTTAAATTGCACCCACACTTTATGACCTCAACTGCCATATTTTATATAAAGGCCACAAAATGAATTTGTTATGGATGAAAACTGAGTATCGCTGAGGACGCCTGCTCATTGTAGTCAGGATGGAGCCGAGCGAGAAATCCAAAGTGTGTTCTGAGAAAGGTACGGATGGACGTAAGCCATCGGAACCGTGAGTGCCCAGACAGGGGCAAATGGAAAAGTTTTTATTTCATTGTAATAGATGTAATTTCCAGTATCACGTTCAAGTGAAAAATATATTATTCATTATTTTGGGAGAGTCATCTGTTTATAGAACTCAGAAATAGTTGAAAAATATCAGTGTTAGAATCGGTTTATGTTGTTTCATTTAATTTGGTTTCCATCTGTTGTATTGTGTGTGATTTTTAAAACACAATATAACTTGTTCAGGGTTCCTGGAAATGTTATTACTATGAGCAACACCTGGTGCTGAGCCTTTTCCTGTAATTCCTAGGGTATGATGAAGTCAGTTCTATTCTTTCTGGGTGGCATATGTCACCATGCTTCTTCACTATTCATTGGAAATGCTGTTTAAAAAGACCTTGTTAAGTCTCTAGAAAATAGCTCAGAATTCCTGGGGAAGGCAGAAGAAATCGTCAGGGAGTATATCTTCATGAGTGAGCTGGTCTCTGAAGGCAAACTTGCAACTTGTGTGTTTAGGGCAATGCTTCCCACCTGTTATACTCTGCTGGCTTGCCACAGACCAGTAGAAAAGTCTTCCTCACCAGGGGCTTTGGCTCCTTTCAGAGGACAGGCTTAAGTTGTCGAAAAACTAAGTTGGCTTTATGTCAGGGTGAATTCACCTTCGCTTCAATAGTTCAGTCATACAGAACATGTCCTGGGCAAACTACTTCGCTAATTAATAAGAACAGCAACATACTGCTTTCATTTCTCTGGGGCTTGGCCAGATAAGTTATATATGTTACTTGACATTAATTAATACTGGATAGTACTAGCACTTAGAAAAAAAGTTTAAGAGCCTTATTGTGAGCACATTAAAAAGTTATTTTTTTAATTTTAATTTTATCTTTGAGATGTTGTACAAAGGAAATTGCCATTCAATGAAGTAGTATATAATGCAATGAACCCTGATCAATGTCCCCCCTTGATCATTCTCCTTTCCTCCCAAACTACCTTTTCCCTCAGTATGCATTGGATTTTGTAATTCCGTTTTCCTCTTTCTCTCCCCATTTGTTTCCTCCCTCCCCTTGATCCCAGCCATGTGACCCCCCTCCTCCACCCATACACTTTGGACTACCCAACTCCTGGTGTTGATTTTGTTAGATGGTGAGTTAACCTTTCTAAAGAATCATATCATTTGAGGTCTCCCTTGAATCTACTATATTTTGAGTAATACCTTTGTATAAACTTGTATATCACCCTGAAGTGTATATGAATATATTAATTCTAGCTTCCACATATGAAAGAATACATACATGCATCTTAGTCTCTCTGGGATTCATTTCCCTCACTGAACATTCCTCTCCCTCTTCTCATCCTGCTGTTTCTTTGCAAATAATGCAATATCATTAGTTTTACTTTTTATTTATTTTTGTGCCAGTATCAGGGCTTGAACACAGGGCCTCTTGTCACACATCCCCTTCTACAATTTTTTTCTGTTTAATACAGATAAGAGTCTCTCCAGTTTGCCTTCCAGGGCTAGCTTCAACTATGATTTTAGCAAGCTAGGACTATAGGTGTTAGCCATGGGTGCTTGGTGAAGTCTTAAATGAGAATTTGAAAATGTTTACATAGAGCCAAACTATTTTTCTTATTTGCTACATTACTTCTAATTTAGTAGAATACTATAAATATGCAATTCTCTTCGGTATTTATTGTGGCCAGGTTCCATGGGCTGAACCAGCTATGTGAATTGTGTTATTCAATACATTAAAACACAAGGCAGCTTCTATTGCTCTACTTGGCAGAGGAGGTGGAAAGAAGAGGAAGAACCTTGGCTGACGCTGCATAGAGTACAAGAAGTGGGGCTGGACCAGGATTAGGTGTTCCCATTCTAAGCCCACCTCTCACTCCTTTCCCTCTGCAACAGGATACCTCCCATTTCCCACTGACAGATGAAGTCAACATGAACTAGGAGAAAATTCCAAACATGTCCTATAATATCAAAAGCATCTTAGTGTAATCCTCATGGATTGGCTTTCTGTGATACAGTATCGACCAATATTATTTGATTATTGAAAGCCACAAAAGATAAATTCACCTACAAAGTTAAAACTTAGATCACTTAACTAATAATGACACAAACTTTTTTTTAAATGCTATTTGGGTTTGAACTCAGAGAACCCTACATATTAAGACATACCTTCAACCCTGATTTTTTCTCATTATTTTAAAGATGGAGTCTAAAAAACTTTTCTTCGTTGGTTGGCCTCAAATTATATTCCTCCATATCATAGTCTCATGAGTAGATGTGTATTACTAGTGCCAGACTTCTACTAATGTCATTTTAACTTTAAGTATTCTGAGCAAATAATTCATAGATAAATAAAATAATCAAGTAGGAAAGAATACAAAACATAATAAATTATACCTGACATAAACTGTAACACCAAAGAGGAAAGATGAATTGAAGACCTGACTTCTCAGAGCCTCACTTGTGAGTCTCAGAAGAATAACCCAAAACAGATGCTGATGCTTCACACCTGTAATCCCAGCTACTCAGGAGTATGAGATCTGAGAATAACAGCTTCAAGCCACCTGGTGCTGCAGACACATTTGGGAAAATCTTCCTCCAATTAACCAGCAAAAAGCCAGAGGTGAAGTTATGGTTGAAGTGGTAGAGCACCAGCTACAAGAGAGCATGAGGCCTGGAGTTCTAACCCAGTACTGACATAAAAAAAATGACCAAAGAAAGGAAAACCTTGATTTTGTTCATGGAAGATATAGAATTTTGATTCTTTCAGGAGAAGAAATAATTTAAACATTAGTGCTAATTTTTTGTTTTAGATTATAAATTATTGTAAATAATCCATTCAAGGAAAGGTAAATTTGAAGCTAGAAATCATAATAAATGCATATGATGCCATTGAACATTTGTATTCACCTTAGGCATATTCTGAATAGCTTTTATACAATCCCAGTAGATGCATTTAACTAACACTCCTACTTGTTGATTACTGAATAAATCATCCAATGCAAGGTCAGTCTCTACCCTTGATACACACAGAAAGAATAGCAACTGTCTAATTATAGGTAAGTTGTGATTTTTTTATAGGGAGCATTAGACTTCTTTTTTATTTTTTTATTATGAGAATACTGTACAGAGGAGTTACAATTACATGGGCAAGATAATGAGTACATTTCTTATCAAGCATTGTTGCCGCCTCTGTGTTTCCCCTTCCCATACTCCCCCCTCTCCCCCATCTAATGCTCCCCTCACCCCTCACCAAAGTTGTAAAGTTCCTTTTTTGACATAACGATTTGTACATCTCATTGTTGCAATAGGTCCACCTGTATCCCTAGTTAAAGGATTTGTTTTTTCCCTTCCCCTCCACAAAATATAACAACATCAAATACAGTGAAAGCATGGGTTATACCGTGGGGGAGGGACATACAAACCAACAAAGCAATCATCTTATAAATATGTTAGAAACAATTGCATGAAAGGAAAAAAAAACAAAAAAATTTTTTGAATACTTATCTTAGGGTTCATTCCCCTAACATTAACTTATCTGACCTTTTCTGCTTGACTCAGACATATAGTAGTTAATGCAAATAATGGAGACCATGGGACCTATGTTTTTTTGGGCCTGGCTTACTTCACTTAATATAATTTTTTCCAAGTCTTTCCATTTCCTAACAAATGGGGCAATGTCATTCTTTCTGATGGAGGCATAGAATTCCATTGTGTATATATACCACATTTTCTTGATCCATTCATCTACTGAGGGGCATCTGGGTTGGTTCCATATCTTAGCTATGGTAAATAATGCTGCAATAAATATAGAGGTGCTGGTAGCTTTAGTGTGGTCTTGTTTGTGATCATTTGGGTAAGTGCCCAAAAGTGGGATTGCTGGGTCATAGGGGAGCTCTATGTGAAGTCTTTTGAGGAACCTCCATACTGCTTTCCAAAGTGGTTGAACAAGTTTACACTCCCACCAACAATGTAGTAAGGTTCCCTTCTGTCCATATCTCCTCCAGCATCTGTTGTTATTTGAGTTCTTGATTATAGCCATTCTAACTGGGGTGAGGTGGTATCTCAATGTTGATTTGCATTTCTTTTATGGCTAGGGAGGTTGAGCATTTCTTCATGTGTCTATTGGCCATCCTCATTAGACTTCTTTAACTCATGACTTTTCTTTCTTTTAACTCTTTTATGGACAAAACCTTAGGACTCTTAGCAAAGATAAAACTTTACCTTTTCAAGAAACCACTGCCATCTCCCACTGACCGGAAGAAGTTTGACCACGACTTTGCCACCTCCACTTCCTTTCATGGGGTACACAACATTGCTCAGAACCAGAACAAAGTTCGCAAAGTCATCTGGTTGGCGGTGGTGCTGGGCTCTGTCTCACTTCTAGTATGGCAGATCTACAGCCGCTTGGTCAACTACTTCACATGGCCAACCACGACCTCAATAGAGGTGCAGTATGTGGAAAAGATCGAGTTCCCAGCTGTGACATTTTGTAACTTGAACAGGTAAAAAATTACTTTATAAATCATGATTACGTCTATGGATTTGCTAGCGTAACTTTAGGTAAATGGTTGGCATAACATTTCCTTACTTGGTATTTAACATATGTGAAACATTGATGCTTTTAATTGAACTTAAAAGTATAGGAAAGGAAATAGAATTACTAGCTTTTTCCTCTCACTTATTTTCCTTATTTTTTTCTTGATTTCAAAATTATATCTTAGGTAAATTTCAGATTGTATGTTTAAATGGATGTGAAAGTGTGGTTTCCTATATTTTGTGTTTGGCACTTAGCCAAACACACACAAAAAAGAGAGGAACATAGCCAACAAAACGCAATATACTAATTGAGTCATAAAAGAAAGTTGTGGCTTATTCTTATAATCCTGGCTATTCAGGAGGCTGAGATCTGAGGATGGAGATTTGAAGCCACCCCAGGCAGAAAAGTCCCTGAGACTCTTATCTCCAATTAACAACTAAAAAATCAGACATTTAACTTGGTGCAAGTAGCAGAGCACCAGCCTTAAGCAAAAAAAAAAACAAAAAACAAAAAAAACTAAGTGACAATACCCAGGTCCTAGTTCAAGCTCCACCCAGAACAAAGACAAATCTAAAAGAAGGAAAAGGAAGGAAGGAAGGAAGGAAGGAAGGAAGGAAGGAAGGAAGGAAGGAAGGAAGGGAGGAAGGGAGGGAGGGAGGGAGGGAGGGAGGGATAAGGAACAAAAGAAAGAAGGAAAGCTGGGCCAGGAAGTGGTCTGAGAATACAGGGAAGAAAGTAGCAGTCTTTGTATGGATATTATGGAAACCTGAGTATGAAACTTGACTTAGAGGGTCACCAGAGGAGATAAGGAAGAACTGGAAGATGGAGCACTTGTGCAAAATCCACATCAATATGGCATGATCTAGTAAACGTGTTGTATTTAACCTAGTAGATGAAGGAGTAACTCCATGGTGTGGTCACCTGGATAGGTACACAAGGACCTGAGCTGATACAAAAACAATATATAATTTAGTGACACTTCTTGAGTCCTTGATGACAACTCATTCCAAGAGTTTACTGGCAGTTTACTGCCTGTGCATCAAGTCTGAAATGAGACTCCCTCAGAGCTGCACAGGCCATGCCCTGTAATAATTTAGTGATGCTCTATGGCAAAGCTGGAAAGATCACAGAGCTGATTTTCACACACATGGAAGGGAACTTCTTCAATCAGTTTTTTGCATGAAGGGATCACTTCATTTTCAGAGCTTTGATTTACACACACACACACATATACACATACTATATACCTCCTTATACATATAACATACTTCATTTTATGAAGTATGTTATATTCTAACTAGTTAGAATAAATAATAAATTAGTAAGTAATAAATTAGTAAGTAATAAATTATCTTAAAAAATAAAAACCAATTACATAGTTTGTTATTTTATGTTCATCATTAATGTACTTCATATGTGTACATATTTTATCTACTAAATACATATATATATGTATATTATCTATGTTATGGTATTAATATATTTTAAATATTATTATTATAGATATATATTTTGTTATATATGCATATATATATATGTATATATATATATATAATCTGGAATAGCTCAAATGGTAATGCCCCTGCATGCCAAGCCCTGAGTTCAAATCCAGTACCATCAAATAAAAAGAAGTAATATCATCCACTTTATATATTTGTCATTACATCTGATCAAGTAATATCTACTTCCATTTTCTTTTATTCTGAGAAACTTCTAAAACAGTTTCTTAAGCTATTACTAAGAACCTTCACATAATATAGGAGGTTTTTATGGCTGATGGTATTTCATGAACTGAAGCTCTCTATGAGGGCCTCGGACAACAAAGATAGTCACCCTCCTTCGCCAGAGAAAAACTATTCTGTATGTTGTGTCTCCTTCTGTGACATGGCATGCATTCTACCAAAAGCAAAGGCTGGTGGCTGGTGCCCTTGGCTGAAAGAAAACAAAGACATGACTTCCAGAAGGACACATAAAGATCCTCCCACCTCAATTTTGTCACCAAGGAATAAAATGTAACTGGTGAAGATACTTTTTAAAAAACAATTCCTTAAAATATATGGAAATTATCCTAAGAGTCTATAGAATATTAGCAAGTATTTATTCAGAACTTCTATTCAGTGTCAGTAACAACAGTGAAAGTCTACAGAGTTTGAACTATGGTATCTTTTCCTCTGTTTTGTTTTGTGCCTCAGTATGACAAAAGGCTAGAAAGAGTTTCAGCAAAGTGCCCCAGTGTGCTCTGCAGGCTTCCAGCTCATTTCTATTATTCAGATCCATGTTGCAAAGGGTAAATTCTAGGAGTATACAGCTTAGAAGTTGGCAATACTCTTCCTCCATGTGATTCCTACTTGTAGGATGGGAGATATACCCCAGATTTGGTAGTCTGAGAATATTATATCAATCTTACCCTAGTTTGCTCACTAAGTAGAGATTTCACTTTGGGAGACCTAAGGTTTCAGTAGCAACTATATTGCAAGATTTTTCTCAGAACAAGAGTCAGGCTATAATGATAGCTATATCCCTGATCTGATTTTGAACTAAAATCCTCAGATTTTAGTTTCCTGAGTAGCTACCATTATAGGCATGAGGCATCAGGGCCCACTAAGTAGAATTTCTTTTTTTGGGGGGGAGGGGTCTGGTTGTGGAGCCTGAACTCTGGGCCTGGGCGCTGTTCCTCAGCTCTTCAGCTCAAGGCTAGCACTCTACCACTTGAACCACAGTGACACTTCTGGCTTTTTTCTTTGTGCTTATGTGGTGCTGAGGAATCGAACCCAGAGTCTCTGGCATGCAAGGCAAGTACTCTACCACTGAGCCACCTTTCCAATCCCTAAGTAGAATTTTTCTACAAAGTTTTACAGCTATGGAAAGAAGATAGAAACATAAAAATAGAAATAAAATATAACAAACTACTAAATGCATCTGTTTCATAAAGTCATTGAAACTGTGAATTATACTGAGAATCCTATTTATTTTATACGTTAAATGAAAAATATGTATATACAAATGATTTCTTTTTATTGCCTTTAAAAGTAATTACTTGAGAAAAATGTTTCCACAGAACTTACTAACAGTAATAGTTTTGAATTTGAATTAAAGATATTGCTTGAATTGGTAGAGATATCTGTTTCATTAGGATTTTATCTACATATTCATATTACATTTCAGTAAGTAATAAATTATTTTCAAAAATAAAAACCAATTACATTTTCTTTTCCATTTGTCTTTATCTCCAAGGAAAGCAATAATTAATGAAACAAAACAAACAAAAGAGATCCTTATATGGCTGGAGTTGTGTCATCAAGAGCCTGACTAACTAGCAAGCATAAGACCCTGAGTTCATCCCAGTAATGAAAACTACCACCACAACAATAACCCAAAATGATGTTTCCAGGATTACATGAGCAAAACTTCAGGCCTAGAAATCATAGCAACCTAACTTTCTTGCAATATTTAGTTCTAGAGAAAAGAGAAGCTTGAGATTGTGACAGGCTCATGTGAAAACCCTGTATTTGAGTGCTTCTTCTGTTTCATTGTACTGAATCAGTTTTTATTTTTATTTATTTTATTTTTTTAATTGTGAAAATACTGTACAGAGGGGTTACAATTACAAGTGCAAGATAATGAGTACATTTCTTATCAAGCATTGTTGCTTCCTCCTTTGTTTCCCCCTCCCATCTCCCCCCTACCCCAAAGTTGTGAAGTTCGTTTTTCGACATAATGATTTGTACATCTCATTGTTGCAATGGGTCCACCTGTATCCCTATTCAAACGGTTTGTTTTTTCTCTTCCCCTCCACAAACTATACCAACATCAATATAGTGAAAGCAGAGGTTATACCGTGGGGAAGGGACATACAAAGCAACAAAGAAATCATTTTATAAATATGTTAGAAACAATTGCATGAAAGAAAAAACATTTGATTTGATTACTTACCTTGGAGTTCATTGAATTGATATAAAGTACCCACTTGCTATTTCTCAGGAGCCAGGCCTCATGTGCTTGGTCTATTGCTCTGGATCAGGCTTCATGATTCTTCTTTTGGGGGTGGGGGAGGAATAGTAATCATATTCATCTCCCCAGCACCCTCCTTTATTCTCCTCTCCCCCAAATGGTCTCTTTAGAGTCATGTCTCTTTTTGTTTGTTTGTTTGTACTTATATATCTAGTTTCTGTATATGAGAGAAAGCATATCTTTCTGAGTCTGGCTCATTTCAGTTAACATACTTCCTCCACTTCCATCTATATCCATATGATGATGGCGAGGCTGGGAACATGGTTCTTCTGAGCAGATGCAGAACAATTATGGCAGTGGCAGTTATAAAGATGGACCCAAGATGCTGATACTGAATCAAGATGTTTGGTCTCTGTCTGTAGCTAATTAAAGGTTGTATTCTTCTGACCGCTGCTTTTATTCCTTCTAATAGATTCCAAACAGATGCTGTAGCCAAATTTGGCATCATTTTTTTCTTATGGGACATAGTCTCCAAAGTTCTTCACCTTCAGGAAACCAGAGTCAATTTCACTGACTCTAATGAGGCTATTGATTTTGCTGTCAGTCACCAAAACTTCAGCATCACAGAGTTTGTCAAGAACAATGGTTTTTATCTCAATAATAGCACTTTGTTGGATTGTGACTTTTTTGGAATGCCATGTAGCCCAAAGGTAATAATTCTGAAGTGTCTCCAAATATCATCAAGATAATAAGCTTCCTTTTGTTTCATGATGATAAAAAGTTCACTTCCTTGGGTAATTGACCTGAATTTACTCAACTATTACATTTGATAAGCTCTTTTAGTTACTTTTTGCTTTATAGAATCAAGAGACCCAAAATACTGTGAAACAACTTGCTCTTTTCAAGAAGTTAGATAAGGAAAGACAGAGAGCAGATATTCTGATAGCCTTTCTTGTAGCACAGTTCTTCCAAAAGAAAAGTAATTCCAAAAAAGGAGAGAATATTTTAATCTTCTTGATTCTTTATTATCACATTTTACTTTTATTGTGAACCCTATAACATTTCTATTATGATTAAGCAGCAATTATTGTTTTTGTACTGCATTATTTTATGAGAGGATGTAGAAGAAGATAACTACCCCAGCATAAAACTTAGAATTATATGTATGCACCACCTGTAAAATTCTGGAGGCGTTTTTTTCACTCCCGGGGCTTAAACTCTGGGCCTGGGTGCTGTTTCTGAGCTCCTTTGGCTCAAGGCTAGCACTCTACCTACAGTTCCTCATCTGGCTTTTTTCTGTGATTAATTGGAGATAAGAGTCTCACAGACTTTTCTTCCTACATTGGCTTTGAACCATGATCCTCAGATCTCATCCTCCTGAATAGCTATGAATATAGGCATGAGCCACCAGCACCTGGCTGTTTTGTTGTTGTTAATATATATTCAGTACCATAGTTTGAAACTAAGATCCTTACACTTGTTCAGCAAGTGCTTCCCTGCTGAGCTATGAGTACAACAAATTTTTGTAGTAGCCATTATTGAAATAAAGTCTCACTTTCTGTCTCAGCCTTGGAGCAGAAACTCACCTGTTTTATACTTCCCATTGTAACTTTTTCCATTAAGACAGAACTCTGTAAACTTTTTCTGCTCAGGCTGCCTCAGAATTATGATCTTCCCAATCTTCACTTTTCCAAATAGCTAATATTACAGGTGTCAACCACCAGAGCTCAGCAAAAATGTATGACTTAATTACTTACATAATTTATTTTCATTGAGGATAAAGTGATAACACCAGGAATCTATTAATGAATCACATATAGGCAATTTGGGTCCCATATTTCTTATGTCATAAATGTAGTACTCTGTGTTGCAAATTAAACTTTGCAAACTCATGGTTTTAGAGTATAATTCCATATCACTTTGTCAGCTATAAGAGGCACAATGCTAGACAGAATAAAAATATGGATGGACAATTAATAGAAGTGAAAATAATTGACAGAGATGGTTTAAACTCACCACTGGGAATTTTTGGCTGAGCAAGACTTTTGCATTTGTGTTTTACAGAAACTCAGCATTAGTAAGCCAGAAGTAAAAGGACTGAATTGATTTAATTAACTAAGAAGGAATAGCTTTAAATTGCCATACTATAGGAGACCAAGACCAGTGTTTATAGACGACTTTTGTTTTTTCCTTATAAATTATTGCTGCCTTTTTTGTATTGACTTGCTACACACATAGCCAATATAATAGCTAAGGCAACCCCAAACTTTCATTATCATAGGATAGAAGTCCAATATCCATATAAAAATCCATGAAAGTCTCTGGCTTGGCAGGTTGCATCAATTGCTGAACTAGTCACAGACATAAAAGTGTGAGATACACTGATTAGTCTTGTCCTTGTCACATGCACACCACCACTATTGCAGGAAGAGGCTGGAGGATGTCAAGGGGCAGAGCAGTGTGATTTCTCCACAGTGAACAAATAGGTGGAAAACGGGTGGTTCCTAAAATAAATAATATTGAATAGAATTACTGCAAAAAAGCATATATTCCCATGTATCCTTACTGAAACCTAGAAAAAGTTATTTTTAAATGTTAATTTTATTTCATTTTCTTTTTTTCTTTCTTTATTTTTTTATTGTAAGAATACCATACAGAGGAGTTACAATTACATGGGCAAGATAACAAGTACATTTCTTATCAAGCTCATTTTATTTTTTATTGTAAAGGTGATGTACAAAGGGGTTACAGTTATATATGTCATGTATTGAATACATATCTTTTTTGAACAGTGTTACTTCTTTCCTCATTTTCTCCCAGTTTTTCCCTCCTGACTTCATAACTCCCAACCCCCAGTTGTATAGTTCATTTTCTTTTTTTTTTTTTTTTTTATTTTTTTATTTTTTTTATTGTAAAGCTACTATACAGAGGGTTACAGTTACATGAGTGAGGTTATGAGTACACTTCCTCTTGAACATTGTTACCCCCTCCATTGTTTTCCCCCTACCATCCCCTCCCTCCCTCCCTTCACCGAGGTTCTTTTTTTTTTTTTTTTGATTGTGATTAAATGATTACATAATTTCAAAGTCACAAGTTCATTCTAACTTCCCTGGAGCAAATTGTCTACCACAGTCTGTAATATATAACAGTGTTCACATGTTATATACCATATTTGTGATCAGCAGCATGAGGATATTTAGTAGTGGTTCAACCAGATGAGCGGGAGTTCTTTGTTTCTTAAGTCCTGTTAGTTTTGTCGTATCGCTAACCTTTTGGATTTAGCATCCACTTATGAGGGAGACCATGTACCGTTTGTCTCTTCGTTCTTGGCTTACCTCGCTCAACATGATTCCTTCTAGCTCCATCCATTTCCCTGCAAATGCCATTATTTTGTCATTTCTAATGGCTGCATAATATTCCATTGTGTATAGATACCACAATTTTTGGATCCATTCATCTGTGGTGGGGCACCTAGGTTGTTTCCATATCCTAGCTATTGCGAACAGTGCTGCAATAAACATGGAGGTGCACGTGTCCTTGTATATTGGTTCCTGTTGTTCAGGGTAGATGCCTAGAAGTGGTATGACTGGGTCGTAAGGGAGGTCAATCTTTAGCTTTCTAAGGACCCTCCAGACTGCTTTCCAAAGTGGTTGTATAAGTGTACATTCCCACCAGCAGTGTAATAGGGTTCCTCTTTCTCCACATCCCCTCCAGCATTTGTCGTTGGCTGATTTGTGGATGTGGGACATTCTGACTGGGGTAAGGTGGTATCTCAGGGTTGTCTTTATTTGCATTTCCTTCACCACCAGGGATGATGAACATTTCCTCATGTGTTTCTTTGCCATTTTTATTTCTTCATTTGAGAAGTCCCTCTTTAGTTCCCTTGCCCATTTAGTAATTGGTTTGTTAGGTTTGGGAGGGATTAGTTTCTTGAGTTCCCTGTATATACAGGATGTTAACCCCTTGTCTGATATATTACTGGTAAATATTTTTTCCCAATTAGTTGGTTGTCTTTCTAGCTTAGTTGCGATAGATTTAGCTGTGCAGAAGCTTTTTATTTTAAGGTAGTCCCATTTGTCGAGTCTCTCTCCAACTTGTTGTGACCCTGGGACTCTGTTCAGGAAGTTCCTTCCTGTGCCTATTAGTTCAAGTGTCTCTCCTACTCTGTCCTGCAGTAGTTTCAGAGATTCAGGTTTAATGTTAAGGTCTTTAATCCATTTTGAGTTGATGTTGGTGCATGGTGATAGGCTGGGGTCCACTTTTAGTTTTCTGCATGTGGCTGCCCAGTTTTCCCAGCACCAGCGGTTGAAGAGGCTGTGTTTCTTCCATTGTATGTCTTTGGCTCCTTTGTCGAATATCAGCTGGCTGTAGGCCTGTGGATTTATATCTGGATCTTCTATTCTGTTCCATTGGTCTTCGGGTCTGTTTTTGTGCCAGTACCATGCTGTCTTTGTGATTATAGCTCTGTAGTAGAGTTTGAAGTTCGGCATGGATAGCCCTCCCATATTGTCTTTATCCCCTAGAATTGTTTTGGCTATTCTAGGTCTTTTGTTGTTCCATATAAATTTTTGGACTGTTTTCTGTATTTCAGTGATGTACGTCATTGGGATTTTAATAGGAATTGCATTGAATTTGTATATTAATTTTGGAAGTATCACCATCTTTACTATATTAAGTCGGCCTATCCAGGAGCATGGGAGGTCTTTCCATTTCCTAGTGTCTTCTGCAATTTCTTTCTTTAACTTTTTATAGTTCTCATTAAATAGTTCTTTTACATCTTTGGTTAGGTTAATTCCTAAATATTTTATTTTTTGGGAGGTTATTGTGAATGGGGTTGCTCCCTTTATTTCCCTCTCTTCCTGTGCGTTATCAGTGTATAGGAAGGCAACTGATTTTTGTGGGTTTATTTTGTATCCTGCTATTTTGCCGAAGTGACTTATGATTTCTAAAAGTTTGGGGATGGAGTTTTTGGGATCGTGGAGGTATAGTATCATGTCGTCTGCAAAAAGGGATAGTTTCACTTCTTCTTTCCCTATGCGGATCCCTTTAATGTCTTTTTCTTGCCTTATTGCCCTGGCTAAGGGTTCTAGGACTATGTTGAAGAGGAGTGGAGACAGTGGACATCCTTGCCTTGTTCCTGTTTTTAGGAGGATTGGTTGTAGCTTTTCCCCATTAAGTATAATATTGGCTATTGGTCTGTCATAAATGGCTTTTATTGTTTTTAGAAATGTTCCTTCTATTCCTATTTTCTCCAGAGCTTTTAGCATGAATGAATGTTGAATTTTATCAAAGGCCTTTTCTGCATCTGTGGCGATAATCATGTGATTCTTGACCTTGGCTCTGTTGATATGCTGGATTACATTTATTGACTTACGTATGTTAAACCATCCCTGTGTCTCTGGGATGAAGCCTACCTGATCATAGTGTATTATTTTATGTGTTTCTGGATTCTGTTAGCTAGAATCTTGTTAAGGATCTTTGCATCTGTGTTCATCAAGGAGATTGGCCTGTAATTCTCCTTTTTGGTTGGGTCTTTGCCTGGTTTGGGGATGAGTGTGATATTGGCTTCGTAGAATGAGTTTGGGATAGCTCCCTCCTTCTCTGTTTCTCTGAAGAGCTTGAGGAGTATGGGTATTAGTTCTTCTTTAAAGGTCTTATAGAATTCTGCTGTGAATCCATCTGGTCCTGGGCTTTTTTTTGTTGGAAGACTTTTGATAGCTTCCTGTATCTCATTATAGGATATTGGCTTATTTAATTGGTTAACTTCTTCTTTGCTCAGTTTGGGTAACTTGTATTTCTCTAAAAATGCATCCATTTCCGCCAGATTTTCTTCCTTTAGAGAGTATAGCTTTTGAAAGTAGTCTGTTAGAATTGTTTGGATATCTTGGGTACGTGTTGTGATGTTTCCCGTGGCATCCCTAATCCTATTAATATGGGTTTCCTCTCTTCTTTTTTTAATTAATCTTGCCAACGGGCCATCAATTTTGTTTATTTTTTCAAAGAACCAGCTTTTTGTTTGGTTTATTTTGGTTATGGTTTTCTGATTTTCTAATTGGTTAATCTCTGCTCTCAATTTGGTTATCTGGCTTCGTCTAGTAGCTTTAGGTCCCATTTTTTCCTGTTTTTCTAGCTGTTTTAGTTGCAACATGAGATTATTTACTTGGTCTGTCTCCATTCTCTTGATGTGGGCACTGAGGGCAATAAATTTGCCCCTCAGGACTGCTTTTGCTGTGTCCCACAAGTTTCTTTGTGAGGTGTTTTCATTTTCATTGAGTTCTAGGAACTGCTTTATTTCTTCTCTGATCTCTTCTGTTACCCAGGCCTTGTTAAGGAGTGTGCTGTTCAATTTCCATGTATTAGAGAAATTTCTGCGGTATGCTTTGTTATTGAGAGCTAGCTTGATTCCACTGTGGTCAGATAGGATACAGGGGATTATGTCGATCCCTTTGTATTTGCTTAAGTTCCTTGAATGAACTATGATATGGTCTATTTTGGAGAAAGTTCCATGAGCTGCTGAGAAGAATGTGTACTGTGTTGTTTTAGGGTGAAATACTCGGTAGATGTCAGTTAATTCCGCTTGAAGTATGGCCTCACTTAATTCGGTAGCTTCTTTGCCAATCCTCTGGTTGGTAGACCTGTCCTTTGGTGAGAGTGGCGTGTTAAAGTCTCCTAGTATTATCGTATTGGGATCTATTTTATTCTGTAAGTTTGAGAGCATTTGTTTAACATATCTGGGTGCACCGATATTTGGGGCATATAAGTTGATGATGGTTATATCCTCCTCTTGGATTGTTCCCTTTATTAATATGTAGTGTCCGTCCTTGTCTTTCTGTACTGATTTTAATGAAAAGTTTATTTTGTCAGATATCAGGATAGCTACACCTGCTTTCTTATTGGGGGAATTTGATTGGTAGATCCTTTTCCACCCCTTCACTCTGAGTTTGTTTGTATGTTTGGCTGAGAGGTGGGTCTCCTGAAGGCAACAGATGGATGGGTCTTGTTTTCTGATCCAGTCCTCAGTTCGTTTTCTTTTAATTGGCGAATTCAGCCCATTTATATTAAGAGAAAGTATAGAGAGATGCATTGTTGTCCCTGCCATTCCGTTTTCCTAAGTTTTTCTTCTTTCCTTTCCTCCTGTGCTTGCTCAGTTAGACTTTGAGTAATGCCTGTTTGGGGCAGGTCCCAGTTCCTGGTTGCTTTCTTCAGGTTGTGTCCCCCCTCTTAGAATTCTTTGTAATGCTGGCTTAATGTTTATGTATTCATTTAGTTTTTCTTTGCTATTAAAAGTTTTCAGTTCTCCATCGAATGTGAATGCTAGCTTTGCCGGGTATATCAGTCTGGGTTGGCAGTTATTGGCTCTCAGGGCTCGTATGGTGCTTTCCCAGGCTTTTCTTGCATTCATTGTTTGTGTGGAGAGATCTGCAGTGATTCTAATTTTTTTCCCGTTGTAGTATAGCTCCTTCTTCATTTTTGCTGCATGCAGGATTGTTTCCTTATTATTCAGATCCATCATTGTTACTATTATGTGCCTAGAAGTGTTTCTCCTGGGATCTTGCTTGTTGGGTGTTCGATAAGCTTTTGTGATGTAGTTAAGATGGTCGTTTTTGAGGTGGGGAAAATTTTCATTGACTATCTTGTTAAATAGGTGTTGCATTCCCTTGCTCTGGAATTCCTCACCTTCGTCCACTCCGATTATGCGAAGGTTAAATTTTTTAGCATTATCTGCTTGCTCTTGAATTTCCCTTTGGTTTAATTTGAGTGATTTTTCCATATCTGTCACTTTTTGGTCCAGTTGGTGTATTCTGTCTTCTGTATCTGACACTCTACCTTCCATTTCATTCACTCTGTTGACCGTGGCTTCTATTGTGGTTTGCATGGTGGAAATGGATCCCTTTATGGATTCAATGTTGGTTCTCAGAGTACTGATCTCACCTCTCAATGAGGTGATATCAGTATGCATTACCTCTAATTTGGCGTTTATCTCACTTCTTACTGAGGTTTGTGCAGCTTCTATTTTTGCATCCAATTTTTGTTTGATATCCTGTATATCTTTTGATAGTTCATCCTTGTGCTCTTTCAATTTCTGATCCATTTCTCGCTTTATTTCTTGAGTCATTGCCTCCAGCAACCCTTGGATGTAGTTTTTGTCTTCCATTCCTGCTTTGCTCCCACTGGGGCTCTCCCCTGCGTGGCTGCTGGCTTTTGAGGTGAGCTTGCTGTCCTGGGTAGTGGTAAACCTTGTGATTTTTCTCTGTGATTTTCGCATGGGGGTTCAGGAGACTGCTCTTCAATCTTGTTTTGGTGTGTCTGTCTTTGCTTGGTTGCTGATTCTGTATTGGTAGAGAGAGTCTATGCCTGATCTGGATTCTGTTGGGAGCCTATTTCCAGCTGCTATTCACTTAGGATTCTCAGCTCTCTGCTGTAGCAATTCCCGCCTTTGGAAGGGTTGAGCAGCCTAGACTGCTTGTGTTTGCTCTTGCGGGTGCTCTTGGGAAGATCAGATGCTCTGGATGCACTCTCCCAAATACTGGAGTCTGCTATGGGCTCCTGATGTGTTTTTGTTTGTTTGTTTTGGGCTGGTTGTGGGCTTGAACTCTAGGTTTGGGTGCTGTCCCTCAGCTCTTCAGCTCAGGGCTGGCACCCTACCATTTGAGCCACAGCCCCACTTCTGACCCTTTTTGCTTTGTTCAGGCGCCGGTCCCCTGGCCTGGTTCCGGCCCCAGCCTGGAGCGCGCTCGTTAGGCCTGTGCTAATGTGTATACCACCTTGGTTATGCAGCCTGGAGGACACAGTTCAAATTTCTTCTACTGTTGGTAGTCTTGACCCAGGGGCACTGTTCCTGGCTTGAGCATTTAAGCTCCCTTCCAGGGTCGCTCTTGCTCTGGCCTGGCCAGCAGAGTGTGCTCCACCGGCTGGTGGAGCTCTCGAACAGTTCCCAGTTTTAGTGGGTCCTGTGGTCCGGGTGTTGGGGTAGGGAGTCTAGGTCAGGGTCTGGGGATTCCCTCCAGCTCTGGTCTCCCTTGATGGATTCCCTGTCCCCTGATGGGTACTCACCCTGTAGGTCGTCAGTTGTTGTTGCAGTCCGTCAGTTGTTGTTGCATTCCGAGTTCAGTTGGGGTGGTTGCGGGCTGGGTTGGGCGGCCCCCCGCCGGGTCGTTGCGATCGCGATTGGGCAGGTGGTCCGCGGACAGGTCCCTTTGTGGCGCTGCTGGTGCCGGGCGGCTTTGGCGGGATGGAGCCTCTCCGCTCTGGTGGAGAGTGATGGGTGGGGTGGGATCCTCCTGGAGACTCCCGGCTGGTAGGTTTCTCTGTTCCTGGCGATCCGCTGTTCTGCAATCCGGTACCTGGTGATCTGCAAGCAGCCCCCTGTGTCTCTGTGGCTCCGGCAGCCCCCGCCGGGCCGGCTGGCGGCGGCTTGGCGCACTGCCGCGCGGCCAGTAAAGGTTGGGGGAGGGGTCTTCGCTCTTCTCTGTTCTGAAATTCTTCTTTTCCTCTCTTTCTTTTTTTGTTATTTTCCACCTCTGGTTTTTCTCTGAGTGTTCGTCTTTTTGTTGTTGTCGGTCTCTTGGGGAGATTAAAGGTTGGAACTCGAACTCTCTTTTTGGTTGGAGAGAGCTGTGGCGTTTCCCTACTGCCCCGTCGCCATCTTCTCTTCCCCTCTATAGTTCATTTTCAACATAGTGTCTGGTGAATATCATTGCTTAGTTTTCATTGTAAACATTATAAGCACACTTCATTATACATGAAAAATTATCATGACAAAAATCATATGTAAATTGATACAAATTGCATCCTTAAAATGAAATCTATTATTATTATGTATATGCATATAAGTCCATAGATCCTGAGGTTTTCTTTTTTGGATATGTCTATTTTTCCTTTAAATATCTGTCATTTTTAGAAAAAAAGTCAAAGCAATGTAAACTCTAGAATTGATTAAAATGCTCAACTAACTATGTTTTGTTTATATTCCTATGAGGATTTTAAACATGTCTTCACTGAATATGGAAATTGTTTTACTTTTAATCATGGTGAAAATATCCAAGGAAAGAATAAAGTGAGTGTCTCTGGAAGAGGATTAAATTTGCTCTTCAATGTTAAGCAGGTATTGAGCTTTCTTCAACCTAGACAGAGCTCACATTGAATAAGAAAGGTACATGCGTATAAAGATATGTGATTAGGATATTTTCCACTGGTTGGGTTCTATTTTATCTTTTGTTATTATGCTAGGGTACATGGGGGTTATGTAACTTACTGACTCAGAGAATAAAAAGGCAATTTTTTGGACTCACAATCTGCAGAATTTAGTTATCCTAGTGATTTTCATTACCCTGACTCCTGGAATTGTTTATGACACAAAATAAAGAAACAGATTTCAGTATTGTATAGTGTATAAAATTGTTTGATAATATGTGTGGTTAATTGAAGATTACTGTAATTCCAGCTTTTGTTTTGTAATGTGCTTGAATTGGCCTGGGAGGTTGTAAATGGTTAGACCTGGAAGGCAAGTGTTCAGGACCTAGCAAATGCAGTAGTGTCATCCTCAAGAGTCCCTAAGTGACTTCTCTCAAAGCTTGTTTTCATTTTGTCTTGTATTAAAATGGTGCTCTTGTGAATTTAAAAGCATTCTACTCCATTACCAAGGTTTTGTATGTGAGAGTTCTGAAATGATGACTTATTAAGTATCCAAAAGCATACAATTCATAAGATAGATGAGAGAAAAATCTGGTTATGAATGCTACCAAACTACCTCATTCTCCCTATCTACCTTAATGAAGTCAATGGCACTGTTAAAAGAATTTCTACTAGCCCGGTTCCCATGCACATCTATAACCTAGCTTCTCAGGAGGCTCTGAGCTGATAATGGCATTTCGAAGCCAGCCTCTACAGAAGAAAAGACCATGAGACTCTTCGCTCCTACTAACCATGAAAAAGTCGGGAGTAGAGCAAGGAGCCAATGGCTCCCACCTGTAATTCTAGCTACTCAGGCTGAGATCTGAGGATTGTGGTTCGAAGCCAACCCAGGCAGAAAAGTTCCCTTGAGACTTTTATCTCCAATTAACCACTCAAAAACTGGAAGTGGCGCTGTGGCTCAAAGTGGTAGTGCACTTCCCTTGAGTGAAAAGAGCTCAGGGATGATGCCCAAGCCCTGAGTTTAAGCCTCTCAAGTGACCAAAAAAAAAAAAAAGTCAGAAGTGGAAGTGTCTCTCTCTCTCTCTCTCTCTCTCTCACACACACACACACACACACACAAGAATTTCCACTAAAGTACTCTTTTATAATTTTCTGTTATATCTATTCAGGATAATTTTATTTACATCCAAATACAATGTTGCACATTGCAAATATTTGACCAATATTTTCAAGCCATTAACCCTACTAATCAGATACTAATCATAATATTTTTTATCCTAGTACTGGGGTTTGAACACAAAATCTAAGAAATGGCCTTGAGCTTTTCTCTCTAGGCTGACACTCTACCACTTTATCCACTCCATGTCCAGGTTTTTGCTGGCTAATTGGAAATGAGTCACATATACTTTCTCACACAGATTGGCTTCAAATCAGATCCTCAGAGCTCAACCTAGAGTCACTAGGATTATAAGAGTGAGCTATTGGCACCCAGCTAAAAACTAATCATAAATTTCCCACGCTGGGATTTCCAAAACATTTTATATTCCAATTAAAATATGCAAATTCATTTATTTATCCTGATATCCTGCTAAGATCAGACCTCACACAAAAATCAGAATTAATATTGTGAACATACAATATAATGGGAATAGTTTTGCGCAGATAATGAACTGTTACCTCTCTGCTTTTGATCATTGATTTGAGAGCATTCTTACAAAACCTAAAGTAACAAACTTCCAGAACATATTTTGAAATACTATGCTCTTTGACAACTTTCCGTGAATGTTTTATGTAGCCATTCTTTTATGATTATATAAAAAATTAGAAAATTAGAAAAAATGTTGCAAACAATGCAATGTTTCATAAATATATGACACTGAGATATTTCACCAGATCAGGCTCTTGCTTCTTAAAGGCTTGTAACCAGTAGAGTAAGACTATGACTTAAAAAGAGAATATTGAGCATGTTCATTAAAGGAGTAATCATATATTCTGTTGACCCATTTGCTGAGAAGTCATCATATTCTCAAGTCCAATGATCAAGTTCCTAGAGTTTTAGTACAAAAATATCTTTACCTGACATAAGATTTATATCAAAGCAATACTGGTGTTAATGAAATAGTATAAATATTACAAGTTCAGGAAAATAAATTTGAAATAAGCCTAGGGGTGTTAATTGCAAAGAGAGAAAAGCCAATAGATTCTCAAAAGTATAGGATCAAAGAAAAGGGCCAAAGGGGAAATATAAAAAGACAGTTTGGTGAAGAGGAAGATGGAAGTCAGGCATGAAGAGCCACCGGTGTATCTGAGTCCCCATCTGTAGACAGCTGTAAGGGGTCTTTTACATCATTTACACAAAAAGAGACTGAAGCCTAGTATTAAGTTGACTATATTGATTTTAGGGCAGTCTAATGCTATGACATGATGCAACAAAATCATAAATTCTAGCATTTGAGAACATGGATATTTATGTTTCAGGAGGAATTTACTGATAAGCCCTCCCTGGGCTTTGCTGATGCTGGGATCATATTTGTTATCCATTCACCTAAGAAGGAGCCACAGTTTGATGGCTTGGGCCTGTCCTCACCAGTGGGCATGCATGCACGGGTGACAATCCGCCAACTCAAGGCAAGTGCTAGAGATGGGCAGAGTCAGAGGAATTAGGTGGATTAATGAGCACATTAAGTCAACAACAACAACAACAACAAAAAAAACATGTTTTTCCCATGCCTTAAAATAGGGCAGGAAATCCAAGTCTCATTTTACATTCTATTTCTTCATCAGAAGGCACATGCTTGTTAAATAAAGTATGAATTACAGTTTGTTCAAAGCATATTATGTGATTTTTGGAAATAACACAATGAGATCCTTTCTTATTACAAATGTATGCAAGTTCAAAAAAGTTTGAAAGCAAAAAGAAGTGGTTAAATTCATATATACAACCTGAGTACAAGCTGGGGAGCTATGCAACCCAAAGTAATTTGCATGAGAAATTCAGAAGTTGCTGAACATGGTGTTTTGTCTCCAGGGGTTATCTGGGAAGGGGAAAATTAGAGTGGTAAGAGTGCCAAGCAACAATCGAGCAAGTCTGGCTTTTTTACATTATCTACCTACTGGCTTGGAAATTATCTTTATTAACTTGCTGAATTTGTGTGCCTTCTCTGTATAACTGGTTAGTATGAGGAAAGAATTTACTCCTTCACTTCCCTAGTTAATACGGAGAAAGCATTTATGTTGCAACCTGGAACACTGTATTCCCTTATTTAAGGGAATTTTTGTCCCTTCTTTGTGAGTTGGCTGGTCACTATGCGAACACAACATACACTAAAATGATTTTATATGAGTTAATTTTTACACAGTTTTATTTAGTTACTTAACTAGTTGGTCTACTGAGGTTCGGACTTAGGGTTCTTCTTTTGCTTGGCAGACTTGGGCCACATTCCTGTTATTCTATGAGTTAATTTTTTAGAATTATTAGTCTGCAGGACATTATTAACTATCATTTGAGATAAATGTAAAAAATACCACTCTAATACTTACTTTAGGAAGTTTCAGACGAATAGTGTAGGCAAAATAGGCCTGTAGAGTCAAATTTAAAAATTGAAGAGCTCCGAGTGAAAATAAAACAATGTATGAACCTCTTTGATGAAAAAAAATGGCTGGATTGACTTAGACAAATATTTTGAAGCAAGTGTTTGTTTTGTCTTCAGACAGTCCACCAAGAATACCCCTGGGGAGAGTGTAATCCTGATATCAAGCTGCAGAATTTTCACAGCTACAGTACTTATGGTTGTTTGAAGGAATGCAAAGCCCAGCACATAAAAAAGCAATGTGGATGTTTGCCTTTTCTGCTTCCAGGTAAACAAAGATGGACAATTTCCATACTCAATTACCAATTCTTATTTTGAAACATGGGAAAACAATACACCATCCAACTCTTTTCTCTTCTTATGAAATTCCATGCTGGAAATTTGATTCATTCTCCAAATGTAACTCAACTGATACATAAGTCATAAAGTCCTGCAGAAATTGCTATAAAAGACAATTGTGTTCTGAAGGTAAATCCTAGATTCTTATTTCAAAGGTTACAACTAGTTGCTCTCTGGTACTTGAAACTACACATAAAGGTGTTCTTAATTTGAAAGAAAAATCAGGTCATTTGCATTAAGTCTTATGGACATTGAAGATTTCACTTTGGGGGCATTCCGTACATTGTGACTACAGGAGAATTTTCAAGTCTCCTCTGCCTGAAGTTTGAGACATTTCCACAGCCAGGGACTCGCTTAAGGCCAGCGATGAAGGAAATGATAAAGCAGGGTGGGTAAGAGTGGGATCTGATCACAATGACTGATCTGGATGATCTCACACAAGTGGATGAACCTCTGTCTTTATTTCCGCCCAGTGAGGAGATATTCATGCTAATTTCCAGGACTGTTACAAGGATTAAATGAGTTTAGAAGTGGTTTAAAAAGTGTCAGGCAAAGAATCTACCTACCTACCTATCCATATTTCCTTAATCCCCCTTTCCATAACATATCTATTAAAAATGTAAACCACACTAAGGGAAAACCAGTTTGCCATTATTCTCCCCCTCCACACAAATGGCAAACCCTTTCTTCTCTCTTCCATTGGAGAAGCCTCAAAGATTCATTCATGCTATCTCTTCTCTTAACCAATACCATGTTCCTGAAGAGCTACCTTTCAGCTACTGACCCATACAAATGCCTGCTCTGACTCAGATTTGCCCTTCCCATTTATATTGGAAAGAACAATAAATTGAGTCATGTAGTGTAATGTTTACTTTCTAGCATGCTGACTGCCTGGGGACTGATTTCCTCAAATCACTCACACACACACACACACACACACACACACACACACACACACACACACACACGCACTGGGAATTGTTATGCTTTCTTAAAATCCTCATTAAGACAGAAAGATCTCAAGTTACATAATGACTTTCAGGCCAACCCAGGCTACATGGAAAGAGCCTATCACAAAACCACCCAAACAAATTAAAACAACAACAAAACAACAAAAAAGAACTTAATTTTTTTTTATAAAGTGCAAAGTTATTAATATAGACTGAAAATTAAGCAAGACACTCAATAAACCACAAAAATTATTACTGTTTTGGCTAGATCCTCACATATCCCTTTAATTTCACTTACAGATGAAGAAATAAAGATTTAAAGTTAATTAGCTAAAGTAACTCCAATAATAACTTGAAAAAGCATTCTTCCAAATTGGCTATTCAGATTGTGGGTCAATTCCAAAGTTTCATTATGTTTTAGAAGAAAGGAAGGCATGGTTTGAAAAAGTGGAATTTTCTATTAACATTAAATGCAGGTCTTTTTTCTGCCTTTCAATTTTTGCTGTTTCCATATACAGAGCACATTAGTGTATTTAGGCAAACATTCCATAAATTGTCCACAAATTCTAAGAGGATAATCTCCTTTTCTTATTTGCCAGATTATTGACTAAACACTGTAGTTGACATCAGAGACCCCATGGGTATAGCAATAAATTCAGATGAGATTCAAAGACTAAGTTTTTAGAATCAGTCCTGGGGTTAAACTCCACTTGAATGGATGTTCATTTTGTTGTTTGTCTCAGTATTAATAAATATTGGTGCTTATTTGCCTTCATTCTATCTCGAGAGGCATCCAGCCAGTGTGTGTGTGTGTGTGTGTGTGTGTGTGTGTGTGTGTGTGTGTGTGTGTGTGTGTGTAGATTAGGTGGCTAAGTAGATAGTTGGGTACATAGATAGATATATAAATTGATAGAAAGAAAGATAGATGATAGATAGATAGATAGATAGATAGATAGATAGATAGAGATAATTATATACATGGACAGAACAGGATTTAAGATATTCAGAGCATGCGAAGGCTGACTGTTTAGCTTTGGACAAGCAGCTTCCTGAGGCTTAGTTTCCTCATTTGTTAAATGATAATTTCCACATCAGAAGGTTGCCAGATGAGTCAAATAAGATGATAACTGTGAGCTTTAAAACTAAAAGACTACCAACATTTGAAAACTTTTAGTCCCACTTAAGGATTTTAGAATTGTAGAGGCAAAATTGAAAGAAATTTAAAAAAATACCTTATTCATTCTAGGTAGTTTCATTAGATCTTAATATGTTATCCTACTTATTTTACAAAAGAATAAGTGTCTGGATAGATGGATGGAGGGATGTTTGGACAGATGAAATGTTTGTCATTAAGCTGTTTATTTTATGTGCAGTCTTGGGGCTTGAAAGCAGCTCTGAGGTAAGGAGTACCCTGGTTCATGATGTCCTGGGTTCATTCCCTAGCACCAAAAACAAACACATGAAAAAAAAAGCATATGTTAAACTTACTGTTTTTAAGGAAATGGAACAGAATGTGACCTACAAAAATACTACAGCTGTGTTTCTCCTATCATTGGTAAGTGCCTTCATTTACTTATTTTGTATTCAAGACTTGCACTAAACTTACCTATCAACATTAAATCATATCATGAATAATGCAGAAATGAAACAAAATAAACTGCAAGAGGGAATTTCTTAATGATAACTTAAATAAACATAGTAAAACAAAAACAAACTAAAATCCTTCAGATTTCCAGACTTGCTCTAGTTAAAAATGCACACTGACAGAGTAACATCAGGAGAGTTCAAGGTATTTTTTTTTTGAATTAGCATACTACATAAAATTTTGCTCTTTATAATAATAAAAATAGCCTTCTTTTTGTATGTAAATAAACATGTTTGTCATGGATAAGTCAAATCACAGATACAAGAGAAAGTCATGTAAAGTGAGCCATGTGAGAACCAGGCTTTCATCTGTTCACTTTATTATCCACTTATTTTATACATGTTAAATTTTAAACAATTGGAATCATAATGATGAATGCCTATTTGTTTTGTTTTTTTTTTTGGGGGGGGAGGGTCTGGTGGTGGGCCTGAACTCGAGGCCTGGGCGCTGTCCCTCAGCTTTTAACCTCAAGGCTAGCACTCTACGACTTGAGTCATAGGGCCACTTTCAGCTTTTTTTTCTTTTTTTCTGCTTATGTGGTGCTAAGGAATCGAACCCAGGGCCTCATTCATGCATGCAAGGCAAGCACTTACCACTGAGCCACCTTCCCAGCCCAAATGCCTATTTTTTCCTTCCTATTTTTTTCTTGCTTTTTTTCCTTTATTTTTAAGATAAGATCTTACTCTGTAATCCAGGATAATCTTTTTATTTTTATTTATTTATTTTTATTTTTATTTTTTTGGTCTGTCATGGGGCTTGAAGTCTGGGCTTGGGCGCTGTCCCTCAGCTCTTCAGCTCAAGCCGAGTGCTATACCACTTGAGCCACAGCGCCACTTCTGGTTTTCTGGTGGTTTATTGGAGATAAAAGTCTCACAGACTTTCCTGCCCTGGCTGGCTTTGAACCATAATCCTCAGATCTCAGCCTCCTGAGTAGCTAGGATTTACAGGCTTAAGCCACCCTGAGCACAGTCAGGATAATCTTAAATGCAGTATCCTCCTTCATTCTCCTCTTAAATGCTGGAATTAAGTGTGAAACTTGTGTATAATTGGATACATTTGCTTCTAGTTTAGTTTGTAGGGGTCCTGGGGCTTGAACTCAGGGCCAGGCCCTGTTCCTGAGCACTTTTTTTTTGGGGGGGGGGGGCAGGGTCCGGTCGTGAGTCCGGTTGTGGGGCCTGAACTCTGGGCCTGGGCGCTGTCCCTCAGCTCTTCAGCTCAAGGTTAGCACTCTACTGCTTGAGCCACAGAGCCACTTCCGGCTTTTTTCTTTTTGCTTATGTGGTGGTGAGGAATCGAACCCAGGGCCTCATGCATGCAAGGCAAGCGCTCTACCACTGAGCCACCTTCCCAGCCCATTCCTGAGCACTTTTGCTCAAGGGTGGTACTCTACCATTTGAGCCACAGCTCCACTTTCAGCTTTTAGGTGGTTAATGGGAAGTAAAAGCCTCACCAACTTTCCTGGCTGAGCAGGCTATAAACCCTGGTCCTCAGATTTAAGCCTCCTGAGTATTTAGGATTATAAGCATGAGCCACTGGCACCTGGAGGGCATAACTTCTTAGTTTTTTTTTTATTGTTGTTGTAAAGGTGATATACAGATGGGTTATAGTTACATAAGTCATGTCTTCTTTTTGAACAGTTTTACCTCTTCCCTCGTTTTCTCCCAGTTTTTCCTTCTTGGCCCTCCTCCACCACAAGTGTATAGTTCATTTTCAACAGTGTGTCTAGTGACTATGACTGCTGCATTTGTTTGTACTTTGCTCTCCCTTGCCGTCCCCCAAACAGATAAATTTACATACAAGACAAAATATACAGAAATCAAAAACAGTGACAAAGGACATGAAAAAAGCAAACAAACAAGAAGCAAAATAACAAATCCTCTTCTTCCCATTTCTTGGAGTTCATTTCAATAAATACCATTTTATATGATTGAGTGCACATAGCTGTTCAACCTTTGTGGCCTCTCCTAAGAATAACCTCACACAGGGTCTTTCTGGAGAGTTTCTCATTTCTATTAAAGATCTGAATCCAGTTACTCAATAAATTAAAGGATAACAATTCCTGTGATTTCTGTTCTATCTTCCTGGCTATCTGCATTCTTAAGCATAAACATATAAAGACATTTGTTTAAAGAAAAAGTGGTGATGGAGTTTGTGAGCTACTTTAAAACAGAAAGTGAGTGAAATCACAACTTTAACAAACTGTCCTCACTGTGAGATAATATCTGCATATTCTCTCCTGGTTTTCATTTCAGACTACATTGAACTAAGAGGATTGTGCACAATGGGAACATATAATTCTAGTTGCCCTGTGTCCTGTGAAGAAACAGAATATCCTGCTACTATTTCTTATTCTACTTTTCCAAGTCAAAATGGTTTGAGATTTCTTTCCAAGAAGTTGAATCAAAGCCAAGAATATATTGGGTAATCACATAATTAACATGAATGTGTCTTTATTGAATGTTTTAAGTCTAGGAAATGAAATGCTGACTAATCAAGGATGGCAATGTATGTGTCACTGAAATAACAATGAGAGCACTGAGATGTACAGTGAGAGGTCAGGTCTTTCTTCCCCTTCAAATCAAATGTCTGAAAAATGAAATGATACTGGACTCATTTGCTTAAAATCATACCTCCACTGCCCCAGCTAGGGGTAATATTTGTGCAGATTGAAATCAAATAATATTTCAAATATGAACATTCTATACTTGTATATTATGTTATTTGTGTTTGCTAATAATGATGTAAGGCGGTAGGATAAAATTGTTTTTCTCAAGTGGTAGAGCATGAGCCTTGAGCTGAATTGCTCAGGGACAGCTCCCAGGCCTAGAGCTCAAGCCCCACAACTGACAAAAAAGAGAGAGAGAGAGAGAGATCTTTCATGTGATTGTTTCTAACATATTTATAAGATTATGTCTTTGTTGCTTTGTATGTCCCTCCCCCGTGGTATAACCCCTGCTTTCACTATATATGATGTTGGTGTATGTGGAGGAGAAAAAAATAAATAAAAATTATTGTTTTTATTTTGCAACAGAGTAGATGGCAAAACACTTACCGACACAGTATTTAAAGTATTTTTCAAAATGCATTAATACTAATTTTAATACACACTACTGTTAATAACTGCTCCATCAAGGCCTTCAATGGCACAAAAGGGAATTAGTTTCGGATCTTGGTCTTTATGAAAAGACCTAGGATTCTCCCTCTATTTCAGCCAACCCTTAAATGAGGACTAGATTAGTGCTGTTTCTGCTACAGCATGATGCCCCTAAGAAACCATAAATCAAACTGCATAGAAAATTCTTGTGGGTATTTTTTTTCTTTGGCCAGTACAGGGACTTGAACTCATGTAGAAGCAAACAACAAATGACTTGTTTTTATTTACATTTTTAGGTATAAGACCTAACCTAGAAGGGAATCAAATATCATCTGTTGATAATTTGGACTTACATCTATTAAAATAAATACATTAATTATTTTTAAGATGATTTATCTTTGCATATCCAGTACGAGACTGAAGGTTTGTTTTCATTCAGGTGTTTATTTCTGGGATTTATTTTAATAAAAATTTCTTCCCATGTAAATTCAGAGACAATAAAATAATCTTTAAAAGTCTGGGTGAGATGGAAGTGTTTTTATCAAGATGGACTCCTGGGGTATGATTTCACATACTCAGCTAAAAGTGTTTTTAATTAAACCCTTAATGAAAAGCCAGAGAGTAAGAAACTAGTAATTATATCTCAGTTGATACTGCTGCCTTTAGTGAGGGTATTTTTGTATTCCATTTTAACAAGGAACCTAATTTGCATGTAATATTATGCCTATTACTTTCAAATATGACTTAAAAAAGCACTTTGACTTCACTTTGAGAGGTCTCTAGAGTATTTAATTGCACAGGATATAGGCATGAGACTACAGATGTATTGGGGGATTAGAAAAAATTCCTCTCTTTGCTGGACACAATCCCAGACAGCACCATTTCTTTTTCTAAAACTCAGATAATTATAAATAGCTTCCTATGTATTTCATCATAACTGATGCCTGGGGGGTCTTTTCAGGGTACTTAGCAAGAGGACCAAGGCAAGTTGCTGATCAAGCACAGTGGCCCCAGGGGCTTCACAGGCCCCAGACAGAGCTCATTAGAAATCTGTGCAGAGCCAGGGGCTAGTGTCATCCTAGCAACTCAGGAGGATGAGAGCTGAAGATTTCAGTGCAAAGCCAGCCCAGACATGAAAGTTCGTGAGACTCTTAAATCCCACAAACTATCAGAAAACCGGAAGTGGTGCTATGGCTCAAGTGGTAGACCGCTTGCCTTAAACTGAAGTTCAAGCCCCACAACCGACCAAAAACAACAATAACAAAAAAGAAATCGGTGTAGAATTATGGACTTATTTGTGCACTGGGAGCAGAAAGGAAGGAATAGTGAACTAGAAAAGGCAAACGCCGTGTGTTGAGGAAGCAGACATAAATCTTACTGGCAATAGGTGAAAAAAGAAACAACTTTGAATTTACTCACAATTGTGTATGTTTATTTCTGGGGAAGAAACCAACCCCAAAACATAGCCATTCTGCCACACGCGGCAGCTGCGGAACCTGTAAGGCAGATGAGGAGAATCTTAGATTAATTGAGCCAAGCATCATAGACATGAATGTAAGGATCGATTGTAGTGGCATTTAGGCAGATTTCATTAGTTGTATAAGTGAATTTTTATTTATTTATTTTTTTATTGTGAGAATACCGTACAGAGGAGTTACAATTACATGGGCAAGGTAATGAGTACATTTCTTATCAAGCATTATTGCTTCCTCTTTGTTTCCCCTTACCATCCCTTTACATACTCCCCCTCCTCTCATCACCCGATCCTCCCTCCCCCTCCCCACTAAAGTTGTAAAGTTCGTTTTTCGACATAAGGACTTGTACATCTCATTGTTGCAATGGGTCCACCTTTATCCCTAAACAATTTGTTTTTTCCCTTCCCCTCCACAAATTATACCAACATAAATACAGTGAAAGCAGGGGTTATACCGTGGGGGAGGGACATACAAAGCAACATAGAAATCATCTTATAAATATGTTAGAAACAAATTGCATGAAAGGAAAAAAAAATAAAAACAAAAGTGAATTTTTAAAACTGTTCTACTTTAACAAATTTATAATAAAATGTCTAAAGTGGTTTATTAAATTGTATATAAAATTGTTTTATAAAAATAGTTCTTCAATGAATAATGCAGCCTTTGGGTTCAAGCCCATGGAAAAACATTTTCTTGGAGTTTTGGAACATGATACGTTTTCATTTTCTCTAATCCCTTTTCCCTTATGAGAATCCACATTCTATTTTATAATTGTAGCTTTGTTAAGACAAGCATGTAATCTAAGACATTAGTGAAATATTTCTGGGTCACTATAACATAAAGATTCAGTTAGACCCGACGGACTGGACAAATTACCTGTGTGAGAGATGCTGCACAAACATCATAGTATTATTTTAAGGGAGGAATTTCTTGTCTCCCCAAAACACATGTGGATAATGTTTGGGAATGACCATGAATGTTGTATCTGAGAAACTAAACAATACTATCAATATACATGTAAATTAGGACCATAATGGAAGAGGAGGAGATTAAATTATTACTAAGATTTCTGAACTTCCAAGACAACTTTATTATTTCTTTTATTTTAGTAATTATTTTATAAATTATAAACATTTCCATGACTCTCCATTATCTGTTTAAACATAATACATTTTCCTGTTACTCAGGGTTAAACCAATGAACATTAAGTACACATATTAATGATACACTTTGAATTAAGTTTATTTAGGAATATTGATTTTTAACAAACTGTAAACAACAGGAAAGAGATTTACAGTCCTGTTCCTTAGATATGTCAAAGAACACCGTATCATTACAGGAAGGCTTGCAAATAGAATCCAACCATAATGACAATTATTATTGTCATTTAAAATTCATGTGCTGGTTGGATTACTCTTCCATTTATAGAGTAGGCAAGTTAATATTTACCCACTCATTTACTGGTTTTATCTTTAATTTGTTATGATTTTTTGCAAATATATAATGAACACCTGTGATGTGTTAAGATTCATGGAATATTCTAGTATCTGGGGATTCATCTGCGTATGAGACACAGAACTCTGCCTCCTTGTGTCTATTCCACTGAAGTATCAACTGACAGTTAATACAGGTAGTTGTGTCATGTGGCACTGGGATCCTGTGACAGCAAAGGTAGGTGGAAAGTAGTCTGGAGAAGGTACAGAAGCTCTTTGTCAAGGTTGTTTTCTATGATAGGAAAGAGCTTCTTGAAGAGGACAGTGAGCAAGGACTCACAGTGGTGATAGTCAGAAGTGCATGCAAGAGTTTGACTAAATACCTTGTAGTATCTGTGAGCTCAGAACTGAGCGCTCATGCTGTGATTCAGCAAGTTATCCAAGTACATTATGGTTACTATGTGGGGTCAGAAGATATGTATTTTTGAGATGGGATGATTTAAGATTGGAAGCACAAAGATCCATCAGAATGATATTGTAAAAATCTCCAGGAAATATTATGAAGCTCAGGCAAAGGTAGTCACACTCTAATATATACTGAAGGTATGAAAAATAGAATTTCCTATTGAACACAGGGAGTGCCATGCTTTACATTGTAAATGGAAGAAATATCAAGAATTTCACTGGGAATTTATTCATTTGCAAGACATACAAGTTGAAATATCAAGAAACAACTGAAGATACTATTGGAGTTCAAGGTAGAAGCTAAGTTCAAGGTAGAGGAGATAGAGCAAGAGTCTTCAAGGCCATATAAAGAATTAATTTCAAAACAGTGGTTCATAAGGACAATGGTGGCTCACACCTGTGATCCTAGCTACTCAAGAGGTAGAGATATGACGATCAAGCTTCAAAGACAGCCCAGACAGAAAAGTCATTAAGACTCATCTCCAGTTAACCACCTAAAAGCCAAAAGTGGAGATGTGGCAAAAGTAATAGAGCACCAGCTTTGAGTGAAAAAACCTCATGCGAGCCAAAAGCTCTGTCGCCCCAATGAGGGGAAAAACAAAACAAAACAACATTGTTTCATTACTCTGATCTCATGTAAATATTTCTAGAAAATATTAATAAAAGAGAACATTTGCTCAAGTTTAGGATTAAAGTTAAATACCATTTATTGTACACTTAGCATAAGCCAGGTTGTAGGCCAGGTCTGCATATACATTGTGTAATTTGTCCTTGTAACAATGGGGAATTCAACTCTAAAATCTTGGCCAGTAGGATTTTAACCAAGTTGTCAACCAAGATGTAAACAAACTGATTTCTCCAAGGTCACATAAGTAACAACAAAAAGAACCAGGATTTGAATTAGAATTAAACATATAACTTAAAGTTTGTGAATACTTAAGTCTGTTCAGTAGACATTTAATGCTTCTATTCAAAAAAGAGGAAGGGAAATTGTTAGGTCCAGGGAAAATTCTTTTTCTTTAAATATTAACATGCCATGAGTGTTTTCCAAATAGTACATATAAAGAGTATACAGGGGCTCGGAAGGTGGCTCAGTGGTAGAGCGCTTGCCTTGCATGCATGAGGCCCTGGGCTCGATTCCTCAGCACCACATGAGCAAAAAGAAAAAAGCCGGAAGTGGCGCTGTGGCTCTAGTGGTAGAGTGCTAGCCTTGAGCTGAAGAGCTGAGGGACAGCGCCCAGGCCCAGAGTTCAGGCCCCACGACCGGACCCAAAAAAAAAAAAAACCATTGAGTATACATGATAGGTCTAACTGAACATTAGGCAGCATCTGATTTTAAAATAAATATTTTAAAATAAATAAAATTAAAAACCATGCTCATCATTTTAAGCTAAGTTAACTGTGTTTCTGTCACCAGGGAGAATCTTGTGAACATTGAAATAAACTATAGTGACCTCAACTATAAGATAACCCAACAACAAAAAGCAGTGAGTGTGCCTGAGTTACTTGGTAAGTGTTATTTACTTGTTTCTCAGTTCTCTTCATTTTCTATTAGCTTATTTTCCTTTCCTTTTTAAGGCTTAATTTATCAATGGGAGAAAAAAAATCAGTAGTTCTTGTCATCTCATGGAGGGTTATTTACATTTAACACTTCTATTTCTATGCAACTCAGCCCCGTATTGGGCTTTAACAAGGATGGCTGATGGTTCTTCTCTCATACTCACACTCACATTTTACATTCTACAATAGTCACAGGTGATTATTTCAGTGAGGTATGACCACCTCATAACTGCACAGAGTGTCACCTCAGGATGGGGCAAACAAATAGAACTAAAGCAAATAAAATTAGGTGGTTATTTTACAACCAGTGCCTGTTCCCTTTATCATCAAACTCAAAATCGACTCAATGTTTATTTTCTGGGTTTTATTGTTTAGTAGAAGATGCTATGCTGATCACATGAATGTTTATCAGCATTAAAAGATATCAGTCAATTCAAGATGAAGAAGAGACTGAGACAGGAAGAAAGCATCACAATTCTCCTTTACACTGGAGAAGCTATATTTCATTACCACACTTAGTGAAGCTAAGCATGATCTAAGATGAGTTAGGTGCTGAGAAGCAGGTTAGTAATGCAATCTGGTTGAGAAGGTGGATCTTGAGTAGCCAGATTTACCAAGACCAAAGGGGAGATATCCAGTCTCTGGTGGAAGGAGAGAATGAGAAATGATTGTTCTAAAGGTTTTTTTTTTGGCAAAAGCAAAATAGAAAGAAAGGATGGTGATAGGTGGAGAAAATAGTGAATGCATTTGATGCCACAGAACTGCACAACTTGAAAATGATAGAAAATGGCAAATTTTATGTTAAATATACTTTAACACAATAGGAATGCAGTTATGATAAATACCGACTTTTAAACATTTTTAAAAGGCAGTTACATGTAATATATTTCGGTTAAATGGAACATTACATATTTTTATTGTTTTTGTATAGTTGAATCAGGTATTATCAGTACCTGATTGAACCATGTCTTCTCTTCCATCGCTCTTTCCCAGTCTTTCCCTCCCATCCCCACCCATAAGATACACAGTTCATTTTTTACATAGTGTCTAGTATCACTGCTGTATTTGTTGATCCTTTTCCCCTTTGTATATGACCTCCCTTACCCTCCCAAATACAAACAAACAAAAGGAAAGAAAACAAACAAAAATATGTCAAAACAAAAAATGTCTCCTTTCACCATTAGATATATTGATTAAAGAAGGTTAGCTGGGCGCTGGTGGCTCACACCTGCAATCCTAGCTACTCAGGAGGCTGACATTTGAGGATGGCGATTTGAAGCCAGCCTGGGCAGGAAAGTCTGTGAGACTCTTATCTCCAATTAACCACTAGAAAACCAGAAGTAGCACTGTGGCCCAAGTGTGGAGCTAGCTTTGACCTGAAGAGCTCACAGACTGAGCTCAGACCCAGAGTTCAACCCCCACTACTGACAAAAAAAAAAAAAAAAAAAGGAAGTTTAAACATTTGCTGTCCAGACTGCCTGAAGATTAAATTTCTGGAAAATGACATCATCCAGTACTGTCTTACCAATGTTTCATTTCTACCATTCATGTTACACATGAGAATGAACTTTAAACTATGTAGGCTCTGTTAGGGATTTATCTAGACTCTGTATATTCTGGAAATCTGAGTTAGATTTTCAGAGACTGTATATTTACTGTGTCTCTCTTTTTGAGATGATTTGTATGGATATTTTTGGCAGGTATTACTAGTTTGCATTCACGTTACATTAAATTTTTAAGTAATGATAAAATGCCCTGAGTTCAATCCCCAGTATCAATAAATATATCTTCATATATCTTCAGTTGTGACTATCTTGTTAGCTTTAAATAATTTAACTGCTAGTAATGTTTAATTTTCTTTTTTAATGATTAAACAATGGCTTAATTGCTGTATTGCTTTCCATCTCAGCAGATCTTGGTGGTCAGCTTGGTCTATTTTGTGGAGCCAGTATGATTACAATTATAGAGATTATTGAATATGCATTTACCAATTTCTACTGGATATGCATTTTCCTTTTGCTGAAGATACCTGAAATGATCCAGTGTGCTCCTCCAACTCAGAATCATCCAGGAAAGAAAAATAGAATAGAGATGTGTTAATTTCAGGTTCAAAATGAAAATGTTCTCTTCAAAATACTTTTAGATTTAGAATAGCTAATTCATTGTTATGTGACTATATGTTGTAGTTTGGGGAGTTTAATAAAAATCATTGAAAATATCTGTTTCTTTACATGTATACCTATTTATTATCTATTTTATCTTTAACAAATAGTTACTGCTTGACTTTGTTTTCATTTTATTTCCAGCACCTAGAAAAGTAAAGCCTACGGGGCAAGCATTTCTTATATTTTAATTAATGAATTGGCATTCTTTATGAGTAAATATTCAAACTATACCCAATAAACCATTTAGCCTAGACAGGATAATTGCTTATGTAGGAAATAGTAAATATAATCCACGCTTTATAAACTATCTGACAACTTTTACTGTTTGAATTTTTTTCATCTATCTATATAGTTAGTTGTTTGTTCCTATCATTTGGATCTATATTTTTTATATAAAGATGAAATAAAGATGTAATTGAAATGAAGTTGAATCTGTAATATACTGGCTGTGAACATTGGTTTAGCATGCCTTTCCTAGTAGTTTCAGCTGCTTATTTATTTAGAGAGAAAATTCCTTCAGAGTTCCAGTAGTTACACCTTAGACAATCTTTCCACCTCCCAGAATACACAGTCAATGGTGAATTTTTCATATCTTCTTTGACAGATTTAAGAAATAATAATAAAATGAAATAAGTTATGTTCAGGGCTGGAGGTATAGCCTAATGGTCGTGGGATTTTTGTTTTTGTTTTTGTGGGAGTTTTTTCGTTTGTTCTTTTGGAGGTCATGGGGCTTGAACTCTGGACCTGGGCACTGTCTCTGAGCTCTTCAGCTCAAGGCTACTGCTCTATCACTTAAGCCACCATGCCACTTCCATTTTTCTGGTGGTTTATTGGAGATAAGAGTCTCACAAACGTTCCTGCCCCTGCTGGCTTTGAACCATGATCCTCAGATCTCACCCTCCTGAGTAGCTAGGATTACAGGTGTGAGCCACCAGTGCCCAGCGTGTCAGTGTTTATTCTTAGCATATCTGCCTATGACATGTCAATTCCCAGTATCAAAAAAAAAAAAATTCTGAAGTTGTTCTGCATAGGATTACTTCATTACATTCTCTTCTAGGCCACATGAAAATAATTCCTAAAAAAAAAATCTCAGAATGTTTACAAATACAATTATAGATCCATACAAGTGCCCTGAAAATTAGACCAATATAGTCTGATGGTTCAATAAAGGTAGAAACATGTACATCTTACGACTTAGTGGTCTCAATACTGATAAATATTCCAGTAAATGAGTCATGCTAAGACATCCATAATCTGTATATCCACTTATAGTTGATGGTGCAAAATCACTCTATGGAAGACTACACAGCAGAGAAATGCTGTGGGTAAATACTCCACGAAACTAGTGTGAGATCCTAGAAAAAAAAGGAAGAAACAGGTTTTAGAAAAGAGCAAAGGACAGTAAGCATAAAAGATAGCAGCTTTTGCATAAATTAAACATGCACACATTCAGACCACACACACACTTAAACGAAGACACATTTATAAACTAATTTAAGGAGTGTGAAAAGAGTAAGGGCTTTGAGGGGTCCTATAAGTATGCAAAAGTAATAACAAAGCAAAGATCAAGGTAACAAATATGGATAGAGGCTGCAGACAGAAAGGGTGGTGGAAATAAAAAAAAATGAAACTCAGCAGAATTAATCACAAAATCAACATGGTATAAAAAAAAACTAAAAGGTAAGAACAGAGAAAACACAGTATAATTATGGTTACTATGATACACCATATTAAAGAGCCAGGAAACACATGGAATGATTACATTTAGTATCATCATTATGGGCAAAGTTTATTCCAGAACACAAAGTGAGACGTCCACTATATACAATAAAAGTTGCTTTCAGCAAACACAGGTATTAAGCCTGCAGAACAGAGAATGAAGCACAGGTGTGAAGTCTGTAGAATAAGAATGAGGTATAGGTGTGACTCCCACAAGAAAGACAATGATGCACAGGCAACTACAGTTGAATGGGGCTGGGACAAACAACTGCCTCTAATGTGGTAATGTAAGAATGTGGAGATGGGAGACTGCTCCAGTCTCCAAACTTTGAGCACTGAATATATTAAGTGTCACAAGAGGAAGGAACCAGATTAACTGGAATGCATAAGTATAAAAAATCCATTAGCATTTTATTTACTAGTATACAAATAAACATTTAAAAAGTGTACATGTGGATACATTTGAAAGATTGCTTGTGGTGGGAGGGGAAATAGGAAGTGAAAGATTATCTAGGAATAAATAAATCAGATATCTGAGCTAATGATGAGAGTATAATGTGAATGGCTAGCTCATGCCTCTGCCCCATGGTCCTGAAAATAAAATAAGACATGGAGCTGCAAAGCCATGTTTTGTTGACACTTGAAAAGAATGATGTGTCGGGCTAATGTTACCACAGGCAATTATCAGGCTTTTTGGAATATAGCTCCTTACTTCCTACACTGCATCCCATTGTTTATCCAAGTACCTTTAACTACTCATTTTTTTCTTGCTTTTGTAGTATATAATGAACATCTTGAAACTATTATAAAACAGACTTCATGAATATTGTTTTGTGCCTACATAGTAGTAAGGAGCAGAATATTCCAATTTTGGGATTGATGAGGTTAGCATTGTAAAAAGTAATATTTTTATGATTCTTACTAATTTATCTTCCTATAATCCTCTGCTATGAAAATAAAAAAGAATAGGTATTTTTGAAAGATATTAAATGGGATTAATGTCATGGAAGAGCTAGTTAAGAATTGGAGATTCTTAGATTTAAGCTTCACTTTCCTTAATCCTGGAGCCATAGGTCAACAACGCTAGCCAATTGAAATAGAAAAAAAGTGTTATACAAATGAGACTGACTTCAGGATGTCAATCATTATGGAGGAAGCACTTCGGGAAAACATTAGTACTGAGGATTTGGTAAGACTCCTGGTGCCAAATATCCAACCATAATCTGTGTTTAAAGGACCAAAATCATGAACAAAGATCACCAAACATAAATGGTAGGTTTTGAATGATACAATTTTGATATCTGAGCAAATAGGAAAATAGTCTGAAAAAAGGACAGAGTGAAGGAAACCCTTGGGTTGGTTGATCACTCTAGTGCCAGTGAAATTACTAAGGAGGGAAGAGGGGAAAAAATGAAGCACAAAACAATCTGAAACTTATATTGGTGGTGTTCGAAGCAACAGTATTAAAAATAATGGACCTTGCTCTGTCCTAAAGGTCCTCATTTGGAAACATACAGTGTTTCCTTGTGAGGTTACTACTTTATCATCTCTTACTACTACTTACAGCATCTAAATATACTAAAATGTTTCTATTTGTTACTATACTTTAAAATACATAAATTGTGTATTTTTGGCCTATTTAAGTTGAGAAATGCATTATATCGTCCTTTCTTTCTGTTGAATTATTTTTGTGATCTAAGTCCTCACATGAAAAATATTTCAAGAAAATTAACAAGGCACAGGTGGCTCACACCTGTAGTCCTAACTACTCAAAAGGCTGAGGTCTGAGGATTATAGTTCAAAGCCAGCCCAGGCAGGAAAGTCTGTGATACTCTTATCTCCAATTAACCACCAAAAAACTGGAAGTGGTGCTGTGGCTCAAGAGATAGAATGCTCACCTTGAGCTGAAGAACTCACTCAGGGACAGCACCCAGGTTTAGAGTTCAAGCCCCATGATCAATACATGCTTAAGTTTCAAAATATTTATTGTAAAAATAAAAGTTTAGGGAAGATGAGCTACTAGAATGGTGAGGAAGTGACAGATCTGAATTCCTTAGTCTGTGTTTCTAGACAGACATTGGAGAGTAGGTGTGGAGCCATCCCTTAGCAAATGTTGGTAGCTTGGATTTGTATTTTCACAGTGTGTCTGCAAATTACCACTTACAGTAACTTAGGGGAAAGTAAACTGAAAAGTTGGAAATCATTTTGGATGAAAAGACAATAGTCATATGGTGGGAATCTTTGAATTATTTTACAAGGTCTTCACACTACAGCCAATTGACCAAAAACCACAACTCTTAAATGAAGCAATCGGATTGAGGTTGATGCCAGATGGGATTAATAGACAATATAGTTCCAAGTATTGGTGGGAAATATGGGAGTATTGAAACGTGAACATCCACAGGTCATGTGGTTCACAGATACAACATCTAAAAATCAATGTAACAGTATTTAGACACCAGCAATTTTCCTCTTGGATAATATATGTATGCGTGCTTGCACACACATACCCCCCCCACACACCCACACACACTGGGTGCTTAGACTTGGTGAAGCCAGAAGATAGAAGAAGCAATTGCCACAAGAAGAGTCCTTTGCTGAGTACTGGACTCCTTGTGATTAAATAGTTTAGAAATTTAGAAATTTGAAAATAATAGTAATAATTTTCTTTCCTCTTTCTGTGTTTACTAAATTGACCTAGTAATTTTTTTCTAAGGTGTTTCTTTGATTTTTTTTCTGAGATTGTGTTCCTCCCTTTAGCATTTTTTGTAATGCTGTATTAGTGATTATGAATTCCTTTAAGGCTTAAGGTTTTGGTTTCAGCATCTAATGTAAATGATAACTTTGCTGGATAGATCAGCTTGGGCTGGCAGTTGTTGATCTTCACTTTTGGATTATACTATTCCAGGCTCTCCTTATATTGAAGATTTGTGTGGAGAGGTCAGCGGTGATTCTGATTTTCTTTCCATTTTCTTTCCTTCTTTAATTTTGCTGCATTTAAAATAAATTCCTTGCTATTCACATCTAATGTTTTAATTTTTTAAAATTTTGCTGCATTTAAAATAAATTCCTTGCTAGTCACATCTAATGTTTTTATTTTTACTAGAAGTGTTTCTTTTTGAATCCAGACTACTGAGAGTTCTATCTGCTTCTGTTCTGCAGGTGAGATTTTAACTCAGATATTATTCTATTGAATAGGTTTTCAATGCCATTACTGTTAAATTATTTTCCCTCAATGATCTCAATTATTCATAGATTTGATTCCTTAGCAGACTTTGCTAATGCCTGGACTTCTATTTGG